CGAAAGCTGTGCTCAAATAACAAACCACCTCTAGTCCCTGGGCATCAGAATTCTTCAACATTCTCTCCCCTGGGAAGATCTGATTTTCTGGGGGGTGCCTACCATGAAGAGTGAGTGGTAACTAGCAATGGGAGAGCAGTAGGAGAAACAGAGGCCCAGAAGATAAGGCCACTGACTCATACCCCAAATGCCACAGAAGGGGCCGGGGGTCAAGAGGCAAATTGGAAAGGCAAGTTGTGTGCTCTGGCTCCTGAGGAATCAGCCAGCTCAGAGTCCTTCTGCAGCCATCACGAGGGCTGTGAAGGGGTCTGGGAGGGCCAGCAAGGAATCGAAACCTAGTTTACTATTGCAGAGAGGTTAAGAAAAGGAAATCTCAGCATACATATTTTGTAGGTCTAAATACTCACAAAATTCTGTAATGGCTTCAGCCTCCTGTGCTTCAAAAGACGGTGTCCTCTCCAGTTCTTGGGGTTTCCTAGAGTTCCAGAATAGAGGAGCTGAGGAAGGAAGGAGTAACCTGTATGTCCAGCATACAGGGGCACCTTCTGTATGCTGCGCTGTAATGACAGGTGAAATGTAATCGCTGAGTCTCACGGCGTGCTTTGGATGTGTATTATCTCACTTGCTACACCTGTGGAGACCAAGGCTCAGAAGGGTGATATCACTTGCCCAAAGGTTAATGGCTAGTGACAGCAGAAAGACTGTCCAGTGACCAGGTTCACATGGTTTCTCTATCCCCACATCCTCATCTGTGAAGCAGAAACTCTATTCCGCAGAGGGTTGAAGGAGAGTGGATAAAGTGTGCCCAGCTCCTGGCTGAGCACGTAGGGCACCAAATTAATCCTATAGCAGCCTGATGGGCCCCCAGAAACAGGGAGTAGGCAAGGCTCTTGCCTGGTGCCCAATTTTTAAGCCCACAAATGGGGAGGGGGTGAGTAGAGCTATCAGTGAGGCCTGGCAAGGAGCTGGGCTCTGCAGTCAGTCAACCAACCTGGTTGGGTCACTGCTTCTTATGACTGCAGGTTACTTTAGTTCCTTACCTTTCTTTTTTTAAAGAAAATAGCTATTTTATTTCTCAGCTGCACTGTGGGACACGTAGGATCTTAGTTCCCCAACCAGGGATCAAACCCATGCCCCCAAACCCATTTGTTGCTCCCATCAAACCCATGGGAGCAGAGTCTTAACCACTGGACCGCCAGGGAAGTCCCAGTTACTTACCCTTTCTAAACCTCCATTCCTCAGCTCCAAACAGAGATGCTGGGAGGGACATGCCTTGTGGGGTGGCATGAGGGCCAGGTGATCTTGGGCCCCCTCTGGATGTGTCTTCTAAGTTATCTTTTTAAATCAGAGCAATTTATTCAGATTGTTACGAGTAAATGTATACATATTGTCTCAGCAGATATTATTTTTCTTCTTGTCCTTCAGAGCATTCCCACTATTCTTTACCATCAAACTTCTTGAAAACATGTTTTACACTTGACGTCCATGTTTACATGTCCTTCATGTTGACTCTTCACCCCCTATAGTCTGGTTTGTGTGCCTCCAAGTTTATGTACGAACTCTCATGAAGTTCTCTTAACGATCTTTTAATTACCAATCTTCATGGCTTCTTTTTCTCCCCTCACTTTCTAATTTCCAGCATCTCCTGTTGCTTTTCATCTTTGCCAGCAGTTTGGAAATGTCACCCCTTTCAGGAAGAGTTGAGACTAGGATGAAGGGACCCCTCTACACATCTCTTTTTAAGGCCCCTACTTGGCTTTCCAGAGAAGAAGCTGAAACGTTCTTCCGTGACCCTTAAAAGACCCCACACTTCATTTCCTCCAAGGGGTTGTCACTGCATGTAACGTTTGAGCATCCAAAGAGCCCATTTGGAACTGAAAGTGGGCCAAATATCAGTAAAATCGAACGACTCTGAGGAGACTAAGGATCTTGTAGTTTTAACAATTGAGTTCTGTGAGAAACTGTGTTCCAAACTTCACACACACACACGCATACACACTCTAAAGGTTCAGCAGGAACCAGTTGAAAACAACTCAGAGGAAGTACAGCTGTTCCCTCTGAGGAGCACGCGTGGGGGAAGCCAAGCGAGGAAGAGGGGGTGTTCCCCGGGTGGTGACATACAGCATTCTTTTCACTTGAGGCATCCGAGCCCGAGGAGCTGCTGTCTCCCCTGGGGAATATGACATAACCAGAGGCGGGAAGGGCCTCACAAAAACAGACCGGTGTCCACACATCCTTCTCCAAAGGAAGCCCCTTCCCATCCTGTGTGCGAGAGCTCCCACGTCCGCAGAGATTCAAACACCACCCTGTCTCCAGCCAGACAAACAGCCCAAAGCCAGTGATCTGATAGGATGTGTTTATATTTACATGGTACGTTTTAAAGCAATGGCTACATTGGTCATACATATTAGAAACCATAAAAAAAAGTTAAGAACTAAAATGTACATCATACACTTGTATATATATTTTTTTACACAGAGGTAAAAAGGCTTATTATAAAAAAATCAATACAATAGGGTTTTTAGTATACAGGTAAAGAATGAATTATGCTTCAGGCACTTTAATTTGTTAATGTGAGCAAATAGCTTCATAGTTGGGGGCAGGGGGGTCAGGGGAAGCTTCCAAACAGAAAATCTTTTGGTTAATGTTTTGTTACCACAGATACAAAAATAAAATCTGAATAATTTCTCTCAGATGACTGACGTTAAGTATGGCAAAGCTGACTGGGAAAATACTACACACTGTGGCTGCAGTGTGGCAATTAGAGAGACATATTTACATAAAATGTCCCCACAGCTGTCCTTGTGCCCTTAACCGCTGCCTTCTTCACAAACCAAAAAGGATATGCGGCCTAAGATTCACTAGCATTAACTCTTCAAAGGGGTGGAAAAGGACAAGGGGTAAAGGAAGATAGATGATGGCTAGACAGACATGGCAAACAAAAAGCGGCCGGAATAGGTGTGTTCTTACGGAAATAAATAGGGACACTTGCACTGAGGTCTAACAGAACATACATTAGTGTTGTGCTTTGTAGAGAGGAGACCTTGAGAAAGGCCCTGAGGAGACGCCTCAGGATGGGGGTTGAGGTGGGGGAGAAGATGGTCTCTCAACAGCATTTGGAGGCTGGCTGAAGGTTTTCTAGATGTTCTCCAGGCTGGGAAGTGGTTCTTGTCTTGCACCACCAGAATAATAGATCTCTGCTCCCTTCCCAGACTGGAAGACCCAAAACCAGTCACTCCAACAAACAAAAACACCTACCAAACAAACTCATAAGCACACTGGGTATTTACATGGATAATCTGAGGAAGAAATGCAAAGCACTCTCAGGTAAGCTGAGAAGATTCCCATGAAGGTAAGCGTAGCCAGCACTTTCCCAGTATGATTGGCAGACTGGGAAAAAAGTCTCTTTCCTTGGAGACTGATGTCCTCTGTGCAATAGAGGAGGGATGGTTGAGGGGGCGGGGAGTGGGGAGAGAGGAATGAGGCTGTGTGCTCAGCTGGCAACAACCACAGGAAGATCATGGTGGGAAGAACAGCTGGCGCAGACAAGCCTGTCCCTTATGCTCTCCACGGTGTTCTGATTGTACAATGCTAGGTATAGGTAACCACTCTTCATTTTTTTTTTCCCTTTCTGCAGAAAGATTTGGCTATTCCTTGCAATATATTAGAAAAATACTCTTTTCCAGCTAATTAGCAGCCTCCTACATGGCAAGGCGACAGGCGGACCCAGACTGCTGAAGTAACCATCTGTGCACTCAAAGTGGCAAGTCTGGGTTTGGGGTTGCAGGAGAAAGACACTTAGGCATTGGAAGGGTTTTTTTATATATGGCCTTGTTTTTTCCCAAGTATAAACGAAGAATTTGGTGACATGAAATTGAGTCCAAAATGAAAACAAAACAACAAACCCATGAACAGAATGCAACCCACCACTCTTCAAATTGATGACATTTAAAATCTCCCCCAGTTAATAGAAAATAGCCACTGGGGGGAAAGAAAGCTCCTTTAAAGTTTTACTTACCACAGCCTTAGTGTTTCTTAACCGGACCATGTTCGGTAGAATACCGGTTTGTTTGAAAGAGACTATTTGGTTTGCAAAACAATGAGCAAAATTTCTTACTTCATTAGCGTTTTCTTCTGGTATTGCTAAATTTTTACAAGTGGTGGTGACAGTTTTAAAAAGATCTACTTTAGGGTCACTGGGGAGGCTCAGAGAAACCTGAAATCCCCTTTCTAGCCCTGGTCTGAGAGGATACAATGCAGTTTAAAGGATTTTCCTGATTCTCACAAGTTAATCTGAAGTTAAGGCTCAATTCTCAGTCATTTTAGGAGTGAATGTTTTGCATCAGTGAGTAACTGACAGATTTTGGGGGTGGTGGTTGAGAGAGACAAGATGATGGGCTCTAGACAGAAACCGCAGCTTACATGGGAAGTTTGGCTTTAGAAACGTTAAAGCGATCTCGCTTTGTGGTAGAATTTTGTTAACTAGCTCACCTCCTATACATAGTAACTGACTGCAGGTTCAAAAATACATCTGGTAGGGTTTCACCATTATGACAATCCATTACCACAGGAACCTGAGGAAGCAAGCTCATTAGCAACAGGCAAGCTAGAACCAAGAGGAAGATGGCCTTTGGAGCTCTTGGAAAAAAACCGACAAAACCCACCAAATAAATCAGCAGTTCCTGCTGCAGGCGCCTTGAAACTGGACGAGGTGGGCAGGAAGGACATGAAATCAACACCTGGATGAGATAGTTAGCTTGATTACAGATTGTTAATAATACAGGAGCATCTAGGCAGAGGGTCCTTTCCTTAGAACACTGTGTGCGCGTGCCTGGGTGCGGCCGATGCAGAGTGGGCGGCGGGGGTGCAGAGTCCTCCAGGCAGGCTCCCCAGGCTGGAAAGGCGCCTTGGGTACCCGGGAGCGGCGGGAGAGATGAGAGGATGTAGAAGACGAGTCCCCTTGGGGCTGTGGACGGGAGGGGGTCGGGAGGGAAACCGAGTCACACGGCCGCTTTGTGCTTCCCCCCGCAGCACCTGCACATCACTCCGCAGTGGTAGCAGGCTCGCAGGGGCAGGTAACAGCACATACAGGGGGCCAAGAAAGACAAGGCAATAAGGGCCATCCACCGGAGGCAAAACTTCTCGTCGCTGGTATCGCACGAGCACGGGTCTGTATAGTCCCCCTCGGGGTCCGACATACAGTGATAGAGCATGCTGTCTGCGCACCACATACAGCTCACCCGGCGGATGCAAGTTCTCACGGAGTCGGGGGCGTCCTGACAGTGGCCCCTCCGGTTCTCCTCGTGGTTGAACATGTCCCGGCAGTACTCGCACCGGGAGCGCTCCCCGTCCTCTTTCCGCCTCCGGGACTTGCCCCGGGAGGGCTGGGTCTTGATCACGCTGCCCCCACGCCCTTTGGGGTCTTCGCCGAGGCCAAAGTCTGATGAGTCCATGTAGGGGTAGTTGTAGTCGTGCTTGGGCACCTCGCCCTTGGCGAAGCGCACGTAGGAGTCCGCGTCCTCCGTGGGGTCCAGGTATTTGCCCCTCACCGGGGCATGCCGGTAATCCTCGTAGCCGGTCATCCAGATCTTCTCCCGGGGGTTGATGCGCACGATCTCCTCGTCGTCGTCCGGGAAGCTCACCTGGCGGTAGGGTCTTGGCATCGGCTGCCCCCGGAAAAAGGAGACGTTACTTTATCGCAGCAGCTAAACAAACCAATCTTCAAATAATGCATCCTTCACCTTGGCAAAGGGCATTTTTTGAAGAAACGGACCTATCCTGTACTTAACAGCTTGTGGGTCAAAGATGTATTTCAAATTGTGAGTCTCAATCCCTTCCTGGGTCAGGAAATCATGTTAATGGGTTGACCGGCATTTCCCCCCTTTCTGCTGCAGTTTTGCCATAGATGTGGGTAGGTATACACACTGTGAGAATAAAGTCTGAAATTCCAGAAGTTGAACATGCCCAGATCAAAAGCAGACCTGAGATGTCCCTAGAATATCCTTATCTCCTTTCTGTGACCTCCCCCCATTAAGGTGACCAGTGACTGGCATCATGATTTCTAACAGCTTAGATTAGTTTCACCTGTTTTTGTAGGCCATCCTCTCTCAAGACTTCTTTTTTTCCAGAGAAGCAGAAGAACTCTGGAGTGCACTGACCATTACAAGGTAAGTACATTTGTGCGTACTTAACAAGTGCATACTAGTCCATGATATAGAATGTGTGTCTCACTGTGGGTCATGTTCAAAAAAGCAAAAGTGGATACCAGGGACTATGAAGGCTCACAGGTACCTTGTAATCTGGTTGGGGAGATAAAATGCTCAAATACACAGAGGGTAAGAGTACAAGTTCTGAGGCCAATGGGGTTTGAATCCTGCCAGGATCTCACAGGTGGTTAGTGGCAGAGTGGAATCTGAACCTGGGATGGCTGGACCCAGAGCCATGCTGTCTAGACTTCAAACCTGACCTGCATTCTCCCTTAGGATGAAACTCTTATCCCTGGGGTTGTCCTCTTATAGTTCACATCAGTGCCTTGTCCAGAGTAGCAGATGCTGAATACAGTTATTGAGTGGATCCAGGTAAGCCTGCCTTGCACAGGGTATCGCAGTTGTGGCAGACAATGAGATTTCCCACCTTAGAAGCCCTTTGAGCATGAAGGCTTTTTAAGGAATGAGAAGCATGGCTTTGACTGGAATTCAGACTATAGAATTTATTAGCAAGTCGCTAAGCCTCAGACTTCACTTCCCTAATGATCAAACTGCATAGGGCTATTGTGAGAACAAAGAGAAAGCATCTGTATGGTGTAAGCACAGGCTCTGTCACACAGGATGCACATGACAACTGTTGCCAATACTGTCATTATAATATTATCCTAGAATTTAGCACGCACTAATTAAATTTACCCATCACTTCCCACCAGACTGTGAGCTCCTTGAGGGCGAGGGCCACGTCTCACAGTCTTTGTCCTAATTCCTGCCAGATTCTTGACGTCAGAGTTTCCCCAGCTTTGGAAAAAATACAATCCTGCAATATTTCAAAACAAATTTTGGGAGCTGACACAGTCTTTGCTATTAATTTATTTTGAAAGAGAGGCAAAAAGTCAATTCCCATCTATTGCTACCATACTGTGATTTTAAAAAGAACATTTTCATGCCAAAGTATTAGGAAGCACACACCCAATAAAACAATTTTGAAAAAAAGAGTCATATAAATCTAGCTTTATGTTATAAAACCTCAGTGCCTCGTGCTTTTTCTCTTTTCAAAGCAGACTGGTGGCCACATCACCCACATGGGCACCAGTCCATGCCCCACAGTTTGCGAACTTGCTCCAAAACACAGCCGCTGGGTAAATATTTGTTATATTACTAAATTCCAGCTACAGCTCCCCAAGGAAGCCGGGGCCTGCAGCCCATGATGCCAGGCCTTTGGTCCAAACATACAGTATTCTGTGGTACCAATCGTGGTTCTGTGCTTTCACACCCTTTGGACAGAGGAATGCAGGAGGCAGGGTAGCATCCTGGGTGAGGAGAGTCTGCCATCTAAATCTTATTCCACTAGGGACCTTCTTCCTAAGCCTCAGCCTCCTCATCTATCAACTGGGGATGCAGAAGATCTGCTTATGGGTAATTTGTGAGGATTAAAGGAGATAAACCGCATGAAGGGTTTGGCAAGGTGCCTGGCACACAGAAAACTCTTTTGAGTGAGGGTGAGTTGCCTGTACCACCTCCAATATGGGGCGGGGGAACAGAGTAGGCCTAGGCTCAGGCATGCGGCTGGAGGGCAAGGCAGCTGTTTCAGATTGTGAGGTCACCCCTGTGGCCTCCAAGGAACAGGATCCCCGCTCACCTGCTCGAGGTGATAGTGGTCCGTGGGGTATGGGTCGTGGAGGTGACCCAGGGTATAAACCTTCCGGTGCTCACAGGATGTGGGGGAGGAGATTGTGCGAGTAGGTTGTTCCCTCTTCTGAGACGAATTAGAAGAACTGTCTGTAGCTGTCTGTGTAGAAGGAGGTAACCATGAGTTAATTAAAAACAAAAACAAAAACCAAGTCCCCCCAAAAACTAACACACCGTCTACCCCCACTTGTGGCGTCTCGCTGGACTTCCCGAAATCTTGAGTTTATCCTGGCTGTGCGACGCAGGAGGACCCCTGAAGGGCCTGGTTGTCTAAACACAACGGGCAGAGAAACCCAGCCACCAGCCCCTGGAAAGCTGAGTTTGTTTTCTCAACTGTGGGAGCAGCGACTGGCTTCGGGGCAGGGCTCACCACACCAGGCCACTCGCGGGTGTGTTCCAGTTTGATCAAGAATGGTCACTCGTTTGTGGCCCTGGTTGTAAGGTCCTTGGGCAAGCAGAGGAAATGCAAACAAGCAAAAAATCAAACCCATATGTTTCTTTGTGGGGTTAAGCCCACCCTGGAAAAGTCTCAGAGATAAGGATACCTCAGGGGTATCATGGGTACTGGCTTTCCAGGAAGAAATTTTGTAATCTTTGGCTTGGAGGCAAGCCTGAGGGTCACTGTCTCTGGGGGGTGAGAACAGAGCCGTTTTCCCAGTAGAGGTGACTGGGAGCCTCCATGAAGGTATCTTAGGAAGGTGATCAGATATCAGAATAGACTGTGGCTGTGGGCAGAGCACAGGCCCCCTTGTCTCTCAGAACACCTCGGGTGCTTCACACCCCGAGGTGATCCCAGGTGTGATGGTCACTTTCCACAACCTTGGGGCCCAGCAGCCACATGCTCATAAAAGGCTTTGTCAAATGCAGCTAGCAGTTGCCTTGAAAACCAGGGCCCCTCCGAATCCTATCCTCACTCCACCTTCTACTTCCTTAGAGTAATGGACCCTTCTTTTATTTGTTTATTTTCACAAATGAAAAGATTTTCCTTGATATCGAAGTGTCCTATTTCTGGTAAATATCTAGAAACTCCTTAGTTGTTGCTTCTCATTCTTATATCCCCCTTACCCCATATGCTTATTTATATCCTTTTATTTTACTGTTTTTTGTCAGTGTCATCGATCCTTTCCAGGGCAAGGCAAGGTTAAGACAAATAAGACTTGTAAGAGTTATCCTCCACCCCTCCACTACGTACACTTATAAAGTAATAAATGCCCAGGAAAATAGGAGTACAAGTATTCAGGAAAAAGAAGAGACACTCAGGGACTTCTCTGGTGGTTCGGTGGTTAAGATTCTGTGCTTTCACTGCAGAGGGTGTGGGTTCGATCCCTGGCTGGGGAACTAAGATCCCACATGCCGTACAGTGTGGCCAAAAAAGAAAAGACACCCATGTTTCCACTATGCAGCACAACTGATGTTAATTTTTAAAGCTTGGTGGACATGTGCAGCATGCTTTTGGAAACCCAACCCTCCTGGATTTTTAATTGTTTGGTTTGTGTGATGTGGGGGTGATGCCTGTTTCCAATCCCACAATCTAGTGGCTAATTCAGATATGGACACACACTTCTCCCTGAGGCAGTCCAGAGAGATTTCTGATGGCTGGGTCAGAGAAGATGCTTGTCTCTATCTCGTTAAGAGCTAAGGGTCCTGTAGTCTAGAATCCTGGTGAAAGTGCAGGGAAAGAAAGAAACTGAGGATGGAGTGAAGCAAAAAAAAACCAAGGGAAGAAGGATCCCACAGATACCACTTGAGCTTCCGGATCCAGCCAAGCCTGAATCCTGATCCACCCTAGGATGTCCCAAAGAGAAGAGCCAATTCCCTTTGGTAATTTACCCCATAATGCACTGGGCTCATCTGTTGGGTGCACTTTCTTTTTTGTTACTGCTGATTCCTTCTCTGTGGCAGCCTTCCACCTGCACCACACTCCTGGCCTCTCTCTTGTCCCTTTCACTCCTCTCCACAGCAGGTAGAGTGGAACAGGGTGTTCAGAGCCTGCTACTTCTCTCCTCTGCCTCTTGGGAGCCACCCAACTGGCAAATAGCATGTGCTGGCAACCTTTCTTGGGACTGTGTGGTCTACTTGGAAGGTTGACGGCCCACCTACTGTGGGGAGGGTATGGAGACCCAGCGCACACATGCCTGGTAGGGCAGGTCTGTCTGATCTCAGGGTCCAGTCCTGGGATGTCCACTTCCTGCAGATGTAAGCTGGGACTCACATCATCAGTAATAAAGGATCTCTTCACTTTTTTTCTCAATTGGTTCAGAACCCTGATAGGAAAGAGTTGCTACTTACCCCTCAAATCCCAGGAGCTGAAAGAGACCAAGCCAAGACACACAGAATTTTTACTTCCTTTCAAACTTAGGTCCGTGCTCTAGCTCTCACCCACCCTCTTTCCTTACGTCTTTGGAGGTACTGCTGCTCTCTTTAACACATGAGTGATTGCAAGTTGACAGTACAACAAAGCATACAACCCTTCACAGTCTCATACTATGTGAAGGCTTATGATGTGCCAGGCACTGGCTACACGTGAATATACCACTGCAGGTAAAAGATCGTCTCCACGTCATACACAGGAACACAGACACCTGAAGAAATTCGGGATCCTGCCAACCGTGGCAAGCAACCACTGGCAGAGCAGGACTGAAATGCGGCCCCCATCCGCCAAGCCCAGTGGGAGCTCAGTGCAGCACGCTGCAGCTTATCAAGCCCAGGAGAGCCACCTGCTTTGTGCTCATCTTGATAAGATTAACACAAGTACAACTCTTCCAAGTAAGATGATGTGCCCCACTTTATACAGACCCAGGTGGTAAGGGGTGGTGTCTCAGAATACAAAGGTTTCTAGAGATCTCAGTAAATACTTTCTGAATGAGTAGATAAGGGCCTTTCTGTATGATTCAAATCCAAGGGTTAAACTCTTTATCTAATACCCACGTGACAATCACATCTTAGGTTAGAAGCTACCTCAGCATTAAACACTGTAATATGCACTTGGCATTTAGTTCTCAGAAACCCAGTTCACACATCACGGTCAGCTCTGTGTTAGTCATCTGTTTACGCCAATCCACCCTGTTTTCTGTGACCTGTGTCCAGGTTAACAATGTATGGAAAAATCATTCTGAGAAATGAGGCACACCCGGTACCTCCTAGTCATCCTCAGCCAATCAGACGCCCCCTTCTAATGCTCCCAGCCTGCACCAGCCTCTTCCCATTGCAGAGTCAAGTGCAAAGTTTCCTGGACCATTTTCTGACAATTCAGAGAACATGAGACTGAGAAAGGCCTTTCAACATCTCCTAATCTGATGACAAATCTCTACAGAGGAGCAGGGAGGCCAGAAGACTGAGGCGGGCTATCATATCAGTTTACTGCCTCTCTCCCCGACTGCTCTGGGCTAAAGCATGCAGAAGAGGCTCCATCGGAAGCTGAGGCTTATTCCATATCTGTGATATCAGATAAATCTTGTCAAGAGGCAAGTGTCTACCAGCAAAAGGAATGTACTATCAGGGTATTTCCAAGAAGAGGCAAGAGGAAAAACCTTTCATCACACGCACCTCTGGACGAATGCCCCCGTTCTCTGCTTGTGGAAGAAAGCAGCCATTGGACTGTGCACAAATGCACCTCAACAAGCAAGATTCTAGAACATGCCTGCCACTTGTGCGCACAAGCTCATGACACCCACCCACCTACTAATCCGAGAGCTTCACCTTCAACCTGGAAATACAGGCTGCCGTTTTCAACTCACCTTCCTGGTGGGGCAGGGGAAATCTCTGAAGTGCTGTAGGTGTGAGCTCAAGAAGAACAAAAGCAGAGGTCCTCTGTGCTTGGGGACCTCAGACTGCTTAGTGGGTTGGCTTTGGTGCAGGCTTCCTGAGTCAGAGAGAGCCGTCAGAGACGGCCTTTGATGTCACCCACTGTGAACAAGGCCAGGCACTGCCATGGGGTGCCGCCTACTTGTGGGAGGTCCCGTGCGACATGAAAGCGTGAGCACAACCACTGTTACACACCTCTGTGTGTGCTGCCTGAAAGGCTTGCCTCTGGGTCTGACTCCAGCTCACTGTCAATGCCTGCTATTAAAGAGATGTCCAATTGAGAGGCCTGGAACCTAATATGAAGCACCGAACAACAGAAATGCAAGGGAATGTCATAATGCTAAATATCATATCATGGTCTCAATCCAGGCAGGCTAGATTTGAATCAGTTCTCTGCTAAGTGTAAGCTGTCTTATTTTGGACAAGGTGACCTCTAACTCCAGTTTTCACATCTGTAAATGGAGCTAAAATTGTCCTCAGGGTAACTGTAAAAACAAAATGAGATTAATCATTTCCATTTTCTAAACAGTTACTACTGATTTTATAAAAAAGTTACTGATCCTGTGATCTGGTCCCCTTGCTTAACTCCTTATAAAAGTTCAAATGTTTTATCCAGTGATTCTCTGGCTTTTTCTAAGCAAGTCCTATCACCCACAAAAGATAGTCTGGTCTCCTTTCCAATATTTGTAACTTCCTGTCTTACTCTATCTTTGCCAAGGTTTCCAGCATGATGTGGAAAAACAGAATGGCTCTTGCTGTCTTGAACTTGACTTTGATGGGACAACTTCTAACAATTCTCTGTTGTATATAATGTTTCCAGATAACTGGAGTGGCTATAAAGTTCCAATGTCTCCTTGTATTCTAGATTGCAAAGTGTGTGTGCTCAGTTGTGTCCAATTCTTTGTGACCCTATGGACTGTAGCCCACCAGACTCTTTTGTACAGGTTCTTTTCAACCCAGGGATCGAACCTGTGTCTCCCTGCACTGGCAGGTAGATTCTTTATTATTGAGTCACTGGGGAAGCCCAGATTGCTATGGATTGTCACCAAAAAATACTGGTAATCAGATGGTTCTTCTGTGTCTATTGAGATGATTATGGTCTTTCACCTTTGTTTCATTAATGTATGAATCAAACAGTTAAGCTTTTTAAATATTAACCATCTTCGCATGCCTGGGATATCTACTTTACTGGTCTTTCATTAAATTTGTTTTAAAAATATTTGATGTGATTTGGTAACATTTTACTTAAAAATTTTACATCTACATTCATAAGTGAGTTTGATTCCAGTTTTTCTC